GCTCTGCCGCGCCAGCCTGGTTCTAGATCCGCATGAGTCCCAAATAAACACACAGGAGGCTATATTAATTATGAAGCTGTTGGCCTTGCTTGTCTCTTACTGGCTAGCTCTGCTTTAAGTAATTACCCCATAATTGTTAATCTAAGTATGTCTCTTACCAGAGAATAGTTCCAGGCTTCCTACCCCCAATGGCGTTACATGTTGACTCTCCTGTGTTTCTCCTACCCAGAATCCTCCTCGACTCCTAGTCTCTCCTATCTAGGTTTTCTATTGGCCAGACAGTACTTTATTGACAAATGCACAGGCAAATAACAGGACTTCCCCAACACATGTGAAGCAAGCTTGTTTCTAATTTAAATAAATTAAGAAAATAAAACTACTTTTAAAAAATTACTATTGGTTTCAGTGACGAGTATATTCAGATAACAGAACCCTACAGCAGAAGTTTCCCAAATCCCTGAGTAACCACACAGAGAAGCACAGCTCTGGAGAGTCATTCACTGGCTGTTGAACAAGAGTGAGAGAGAAATAAACCTTTACGATGTTGACATAACAAAGAGACAATTGGACACTGCCTTGGCTGTCCTTACCATATATTAATCAAATGGAAAAAATCACCTTGTTTTACATTTAAACGGGACACCCATAAAACAGGTGATTCAGAGCCCCACCCCCACTCCCAGAAATCATATGTGCATTTTCTCTACCTCCTTTGCAATAAAGCAGGAAACACACACACACACACACACACACACACACACATACACACACACACATGCACACACACGAATACATACATACACATAGTTTCTTTTCCTCTCTCTGTCTCCCTCTTTACTGCCTACCTGCCAATTTGGGTTTCACTGTTGTTGAGACTGGCCTTGAGTGACCAGGGAAGGACCCCTTGCGTCAATCTCCCACATAGCTGAGACTACAGGAATGTGCTAGCAGTTTTAGAAGTGTGACCAGAGGGGAGAGGGAGCCTAGGAGTGAAGGAAAGAGAGGGAAGAAGAGAGCTTCATGAAAATTTCAATAGTGCATAATTTTCTGAGAAAGTAGTATCTTTGAACTAAGGAAGAGGTGCAAATATTGAAAATGCCATAGAAAGACCATGTTTGTCTCCATCTCAAGGCAAGAAAAAAAAAGATGGGAGAACTCCTTTAAAACTATTTTTTATCTTCTGACAATTACACACACACACACAAAATGTGTCTTAATCATATCCACCCCAGCATCGCCCTCTCACTGGTCTTGACTTCTCCAACACATGCCCCTCCAGATGTTGTGAACTCGTTCTGCACCAAGATGAACCTTATTCCACAAAGTCAAAGTGATTTACAAATGAGAAAAAAAAAACATGCAACCATGCCAGAAAATGTCAGTAGCTTAGTCAATAAAAATTAACATGTATTTCTGCAAAGAGAGAGGGCCTCCTTTGAAGACTGGGGGGAAACTAAAATCTTGTTAATATGATACTTATAGCAGACATGGTTCTTTTAAACTTAAAAAAAAAATGGCTTCCACAGAGGCCAGAAGAGTGTGTCAGGTCCTCTGGAGTGGGAGTTACAGGTGGTTAGAGCTGCCCGATGTGGGTTCTGGAAACCACACTCAGTCACAGAACAGCAAGCGCTCTTATCTGATGAGCCACCGATGCAGCCCCAGGGGGCATGAGGCTCTTCACCGGAATGTTAGAAACACTCCACAGAAAGCTGGGATACGGGATCCAAGGATCTGTGAACTTGCTCCTGACAGCCCTAACTCTGTTGTGAATCCTCTCTCTGTCACAGCCCCTGCCTTACCCACGAGCCACTGCCTTGATGTTTCTCAGTGCCATTTGCCTGAAGAGCTGTGATGGCCTCCAAGCATGTTTCAGGTGACCTGATTTGCACGCCTGGGAAGTCAGAGGAGAAACAAACTGCTCCTAAGGAGGTGCACAGGTGAATGGCAGTCTAAGATCTCAGCTCAGCTGGTGACTACAAAGGCTGCTGAATAGCTCCGCTGGTCTCACGGCAAGGCATGTGGGAGCATCCAGGGCTGGCAGGATGGAAGGGCCCTACACCCCTTCCAGTGGGAGGGTGAGCTGGTGTACCTCTTTAGAAAGCACGTGGGCCTTCCACCTCCGGAATCCACTCCTCAGAACTGCTGGGATTAAAGCATTTGTCTTCGAGGCAGGCTTTCCTAGTGAGATCAGGCTGGCCTTGAACTTGCAATCTTCTGCTTCTGCCTTCGGTGTTCTTAAATTACAGCGCCATCATGGCCAGCATATATGCCTTTATTTAAACACAGGATCCATTGTTTATGTGTAATTAATTTTACGTGTTTACTTATATGGATGTACTTCTGTGTATGTTAGATGTATGTAAGATGTGTGTGATGTGTGTGTATAGGTATGTATGATCTGTGCACACGGGTTTCTGTGGTGTGTATGGGAATGCATACAGCACAGCACATATGGAGGTCAGAGAACAGCCTCCCCTTTGTTTACTGCGGGGTCTCTATGCTGTCTGCTGCGGGGTCCATACACCAGGGTAGGGCCCATGGGTTTGTGGGATTCCTTTGTCTCTGTCTCCCGGCCACCGCAGAAGCACTATGACTACAGCTGTGTGCTGCTGGACCAGGTGTTACCTGAATCTCGGAGGTTTAAACTCAGGTCTCTATGTTTGTGGCAGACACCTTTCCCACTCAGCCGTCCCCTCAACCCACCATCTTGCTTTTCTGAAACAGAATTTATTTATTACCAATTGTGTGATCTGGATCTCCTGATTCAGCTGGAGAGGCCTGCAAGCCCCATGGATCTTCTCTCCCTTCCTCCCCAGAGCTGGGATGACAATCATGTGCCACCACCTTGGCTTTTTCCTTGAATCCCGGGACCTGAACCTAGGTCCCCACACTTACAGGGTAAGTACTTTACTGACTGACCCATCTTCCCAGACTGTTATTAATTTTATTTTAATGACTGAGATAGGGATCTTGTTGTATAGATTGGTCTTGAACTACTGAAGTCAAATGACCCTGCCTCAGTGTCCCAGGATGCTGGGATGACAGATGTGCACCACTGTGCCCAGCCTCCCACACGTATTTATTGAGAAAAAACAAAACAAAACTGCATGCCTCTGCGCTAGGCACTGGGCTAGTCAGTGACGATTTAGCATAAAAACCATTGTTATCCCTGCGGGAGAGGCGAGTAATTATCACATAGATAACTGGTGTATTTACAAATATTCTATGGGAAAGAGACAAGGCATGCAAAGTAAGGAATGGGGAGCCTGAATCTAACAGGCCAGACTGTGCAAACCTGTCTCCAGCTACTAGGCTTCTCCCCATGTGTCTCGAAATTTTGAACTTTATTTAGAAATGACCAATTGAGCCCAGTGACAGTTCTTAATACATGGACTTCTAGACATGATGCTGAGCTGTTTAGAAAGGGTGAGAGGCCAGCAAGATGGCTCAGCTGGTGAGGGTGCTTGCTGCCAAGCATGATGATCTGAGTTCAAGTCCCAGAACCTAGTGGTAGAAAGAGAAGTGACTCCTGCAGGCTGTCCTCTGACCTCCGTATGTGCACCATAGTGTGTGGGGGGTGGAGGTAGATGCCTGTAGGCCTGCCCGAAGAGACTTGAAGAAAATTCTAGCTCTTCTCAGCTCACCAAGGTGACCTAATGGCTTCGCCTCAGGCCCAGTGCCCACCCACCCTGTTCTCCTTAAGTGAACTGGCTTCGTCTCTTCTCATCATGGAGACCCAGCTTGGAAATGGCACCTTTGACCCCAGCTTGGTTCCAGGGCTCTCTGACCACTCTTTTCTGGGTCTTGAGCAAGAACACTAGACTTTAAGTCAGATTGCTTTTCGCTTCATTCTCACTAACCTGTGCAGAAGGAAGCTGTAGAGCCCCCAAGTACCTCAATTTCTTGATCTGCAATGCAAATGCAATCTTTACCTCATAGAATTATTACATAGATAAGAGGAAAAGCTGTAATGGAGGTTAAAATTGTGGGCACCCTGAATTTGATGTTGAACAAGTTGGGTCTGGTGAGGCATGTCCATAATCCCAATTGGAAGGCTGGGCAGGAAGCTTGTGTGAGAGTTCAAGGCCTGCCGGGGCTGCAGAGCAAGAAAGACCCTGCCTGAACTCTCACACAGCACTCTGTGATGTGTGCTTGGAACAAAAGCTCCATTAGACTCCGTAGAGTGGGTTTTTCTCATTCCAGAAAAGGTAAAACAATAGGGACAGAACCGGATCTCTGGGTAATGGGTGCAGGCGGGGAGAAGATTGAGACAAGCAAACACTTTCGGGGGGTGGAAATTCTATATTTTATTGTTTGGTGGTCACATACTGTTTGCCAAGACTCAGAATTGTATACTTCAAAAAAATGAATATTCAACCATACATCGTGACTTATGCTTGTAATCAGCACTTGAGAGGGAGTGGCAGGGAAATTGCCAGAGTTCTAGTTCAGCCTGAGCTATGTATGAGCTCCAGGCCAGCCTCAGATGCAGCATAAGATCTTGTTTCAAAAACACCCTTCCCTCAAAAGAGTGAATATTTCTATGCTCAGTTCACACATTGACCCTACAATACTAAGAGCTACATACACAGCAGGCCCTCCTCATCCAGGGGTCATAATCTGCTGATTCAACATCGGGCATTTTTTCCCTGTCATTAGTCAATGCAGTGCTACTATATTTACATAGCAGCAAAATTGTGTTGGATACTGTAAATAACCTAATGATGATTAAAACCTACAGAATATATGCATGTTATAGTACATTTCCTATAAGACTGGAACATTCCCCAGACACTGGGGTCTGTAAGCGTCTTGGAAACAGGTCCCCAGGATACAGAGGGGCCATGGTTTGGAGCTTTAGTATAGTGCCTGATAATGGATCATCAATAGATAAATACTATTTGGATTCTGTTCATACAGCAGGGAGAGTGATATTTCAGTAAACACGACATCTTTGTGTGCATCCTAAACTTCTTTTTTTTAATTGCAGGAGTACTGAGCGCTTCTAATAAGTTCAGAGGTTGTTCTGCCTAAAGAAATAAAGCTCTACACTAGAAGAAAGACAAAGCCCGGGGCTGTAAACCCAGAAGTTCAGGGACAGGCCAGACACTGGGGAGTCCTGCTTTGTCATCTAAACCGCGGGAGGTCATTTTGTCAATAACAGGTGTGATGCTGGTTTGGAGGGAAGTTCTAAACGGATTGTTTAATCTTACTCAGACTTTTGTGGCTGAGGATGAGTCAACATTAGCTTAATTAAAACTCCAGGAGAATAGCTGTGAATGAGACCAGCGCCTGCCTGGGCTGTGGCCAGCGACTAGAGGTCAGGACTGGCCGCTCCCTCCCACACCGGCTCTGCTCCCGCCCACATCCTCCCCTGCTCCACCCTCATTAGTCGCTGCCCGGTGCGCCCGGCGCCCATTGGCTGCTCAGACGATGCATTTCTCCCATAAGAAGTGGCCCCTCTGGTCCGCGGGTGACCCTCTGAACTCCGGTGCCTCTGAGGTGAGTGGGTGAGTGCGGTGGCCCCTTCCAGGGACCCCAGATCTGTGGGCTCCATTCTTCTTTCCTTATAGCAGACCCTATTCTTGAGGAGCTCCTGTGTTCCAGGAGCAGACTCTGCCACATCGTATTCCTGCTTTACAGGGAACCCTGTGAGGTGGATGCATCTTGTATTGTATAGATAAGGATGGATCTGGGAGTTCCCAGTGGGGACCCAAGTCTGTATGACTCCTTGCCCGTGGGAACACACACGTTACTCTTTCTTTTCCATTTGAGGGTAGCCTCTCTCTCCCTTCTCTCTCTATGAAGGGAGCAGTCTCCGAAGCTCCACCAAAGGAAGGGGAGTCTCGGATGCTGGGTCTCTCAGCACAGCACAGGTGACAGAGGCACAGGTCCTTGGGATTCAGAGCTAGCTTATAGTCCGGGTACATGTAGCCATGATTAAATGTAACTATCTGATTTTCAGAGGTTTAAAGTGACCCGTCCATGTTGTTGCGCCCTAGCCTTCTTGGAGTGGAGGTGGAGGAGACAGGCAGGCCCCAGATGTGCCTGTGGGATGTCAGGGATGGGATTCTAAGCACGTTTCCAGGGTCATGTACTCAGTCACTGGAGTCCGCCTGTCCATGCATTGCCGCTACTGCCCCAGATTATTCCGCTCATCCAGGCAGGAAGCTGCCTCTGCCTTGCCCTTCTGGAGAGTTCCTTTGTCTCCTGTGTGCTTGTTTGAGCCTCTTGTTTGCATCTCATCTCCTGGTCTTTCCCACTTCCCACCTGATGAAGGGACTCGAGACCCCTTGAGATTCTTTCCGAACCATTCCTCGTTGTAGCTTCCAACCCTGCCTTCAAACTGCCCACACCTTCAGGAGCCTCGACTGTGCGACCTAGACGAGAGAATTCCCAGTTTCCCTTAGTGGTGATTAGGAAGCATCGAGGTGGTGCGCATGCTTGCAGCCTCCACTGTGCTCTGCCAAGCACCAGTCAGCTGAGCTCCTTCTTGCCAGGTCTCATCTCAGTGCTGGCTCCTGCCCTCTGGCACATCTTCTTGCAGATGAGCAGGGCCCCTCCCTGACTCTGAAAGGGACTCTTTACCTTTCAGGGTGACCTCCTGCCTTTGAAGGCAAGCCTCTCCCCTTGAGGGCGACCCTCCCTCTTATTTTACCTGGGGGCAAAGGGGCTCAAAGGGGAATAGAAGGCTAAAGGGGGGAAGAAATACCAGAGAAAATCCTGAGGTGCCACTGAGATTGCTGAGTGAGTGCAGTAGGCCAGGCAGATCAACAGGCAGCACTACCAGCGCTGGGAGGATGGGCTCTCATCACTCATCAGGGGCCTGGTTTCACCGGGTCAGGTGGAAAGTGTTCAGGACAGCAGAAGGATGTGCGCTGTTAAAGAGCCAGTGTAAACATGTGTCCTCACCTCCTACAGCTGTGTGACCATAGGCATGTTAGTCTCTCAAAGCTCTAGTTGGGTTTACAAAGAAAACAGAAGGCCTGGTCCCCACTCTGAAGGGGCTTTGCGGCATTTTAGGGTGTAAGACATATATGGGTAAAGCGTGTGGGGAAGCTACCCAAATCCTGATGGGAGATGAGGCAGACCCTCACAGAGGACTCAGTTCGGGACTGAAATAGCCAGGGAGACTCCCCGAGGTTGGCAGGCTTGATCGGTGCTCTCAGTGGTCAGAAAGAAGCAAAGGTGTTCTGAGACACTTCAGGTGCCTTTGCCATTCTGGGCACTATGCTGGGGCGTCTCACCTTCTGGCCCCACTGCCCCCTGGGAAAGTGTGTGAGACACGTGGGCTTTGCAGATGAAGGGAATGGGAGCGGGGAGGGGGTGAAGTTACTGCTGCTGCTCCGCTGCTCTGTGCTCAACACTCATGTGAGCTTTCATGCTTCAGATTCACCATGATCGAAGACAACAAGGAGAACAAAGGTCATCCCTCAGAAAGGGGGAGAGTGACTCTCATTTTTTCCTTAAAGAATGAAGTTGGAGGGCTCATAAAAGCACTGAAAATCTTCCAGGTATGGATTTCTCATAAAGCTCGTCTGAAAACGAGTCTCGGAGACTCTATTTAAATGTAAGGTACTGTGTCGGTCAGTTCCTCAGAGACAGCCTTCAGAAGCCTCTTAGCACCTTACTGTGCAGGGAGCGGACACAGCTCAGCCGCTAAAAACACTTGCAGCCCTTGCAGAAGACAAGGGTTCAGTTCCCAGCACCCACACTACACAGCTCACAGCCATCTCTAACTCTAGTTCCAGGGGACCTAATGTCCTCTTCTGGGTGCTGCACACCTGTTGATAATAAAATACGGTTCAGTTCTGGGAAATGGGTAAGAAATACAGCTGCGCAGAGAGCAAAGAAGGATATTGGGGAGCAGTCACCGCATAAATTTGAGAGATCTCAACTAAATAAAATGCTTTACACTTAATGAAGGGCCTGGCCATGTAATGATATTATTTACTGGCATATTAAATATTTTCAGGTGACAAACTGCAATTATGTCATTTCCTACTGTCAGAGCCTCGTGCACATCGTCCTCAAGTTTTTTTCAGTGCAGCACAGGGAGACTGTGGGCTAATGTGCACGCGTGAGTTTTAGCATGCTCCTACTTAACGGTTTTTACTTTATTTACTCTGTGTGTGTGTGATATACACCCATGTGCAGAGGCCAGTGGAGGGTGTCAGGTGTCCTCCCCTATCATTCTCCGCCCTCTAGGCCAGCGGTCAGCATGCCCCAGAGATTCCCATCTCTAACCCCACAGTGTGGAGTTAACCAGCAAGTGGCTGCACCAAGCTTCTATGTGGGTGCTGGGGAGTCAAACTCAGAACCGTGTGATTGTGCGGCAGGCACTTTCACCCACTGAGTCATCACCCCAGTCCCTCTCGGGCAGTTCTCCTCATGAAATATGTGGGAACCCGACAGAGCCCAAGTATTTATTGAGCACTTACTATGTGCAGGGTGCTGGACTCTACACTAAGTGTGTGGATCTGAACAAACCAGACACAGTATGGTACCTTTCTTCACAGACAGCATGGTCTGGATAGGAGGCGGACATGAAACAGCAGTTTAGTAAGTGTGTCACACACACACACACACGTGTGTGTAAAGAGAGACAGCAGGCACCGTGACATCACTGAACTGGAGGCTCTAACCTAGTTTGAGGACCTAGGAACACAAACACTGATCTCTAACGAGCTGTGTGAGCAGGCTGTGTTACGGTGCTTGCACACCACACGGCTGGGCAGGTTCAGAGCGTCAGTCAACTCCTTCAGCCTGCGTCTCTCTGTTTCTTCTTTGATGATGAGTCATAAAACAAAAGCTTTGCTATTGTTCCCTCCTTTCACTGTAAATTAATTTGCTCTGGATATGAACAATGAAACTGATACCATCTCCCTTTGTTTCTTTGCCTTTTCTCCCTAAATTATTTAATACTGCACTATCATAGTATTATTATTACTATTGACATGCTAGGAGTTAACCCAAGGGCTTTGAGCATGCTGGGCAGGGACTCTGTCACTTGGATGATGTATCCTCAGCTCTGTTTACTTATTACTTTGAAAGAAAGTCTCACTAAGTTATCCCAGCTTCCCTCAAACCCAAGATCCCACTGCCTCAGCCTCCCAAGCAAGTCTATACCAGCAAGCCTGGCTTATATTATTACTTGCATCAATTACCTGACATATGCGCCTTTATTTCTTCTTCCACCACCTTTCACTTTTATTTATTGCTAGAATTTCTGTACGTGGTTTGAAAACTCAACACATTCTATACACTTACAAAGAAACCATCAGTCTTTTACTCTGTCTCTTTGCTCCAAATTTGTGTTTTTGCTTGTTTATTTTACATAGACAGGGTCTCGCTCTGTAGTTCAGACTGGCATGGAATTCCTTCAGCCTAAGCCGCCATGTGCAGCTCATCCTTAAGTGTCGTCTAATTTCCCGGTGAGCCTCGGGTGTATGAAGAGCATGAGCAGTGCTTTGTCCATGGAGTCTTCTCCCCAGCCCCCATGGTCCTTAGCTTGGCCTACCCTTCTCTTGTGCCCTCTTCACCTCCATCCCATCCTTGGGTGTACATGATACCTCCTGTTCCCTTGGACTCACACTTTGTCTCTTCAGTGAGTACCCATGCATCCAAACCTGCTGCCTGCGTTTCCTTGTTTCTCCAACTAGACTCCAGGCGGGGACTGATTCCCATGTTTGACTTTTCTGTCTGAGGCTCTTTTCCTCAGATGCTCAAATGCTGTCTCCACGGAGGTTTGCACCTGTGGTACCCAGATTCAGACTGGCATGGGAAGGGATGGAAAGAAGCAGTCTGCTTAAACTGGTTACCATGGCCATTCATATTATTTTGATATTTCAGTATGTGAAATTTCTCAAAGAAAACTTTTTTAGTCTTTTTTTTTGCTTTTTTGCTTGTTTTTTGGAAGTAACAATGACATCTCCTTCTGAAAAATAATTTTATTGAGAGAATTTCTCCAAGATTCTTTTATCCAGGCAATTTGGTACTTGACATTTTAAAAAAGTATTTAAAATAAAACAACATAGGAAGGTGACTCTTTGGGCAGTGGTGGTGCATGTCTGAATCCTAGCACTTGGGAGGCAGAGGCAGGAAGATCTCTGTCTCAAAAAAATAATTTATTTATTCTTAAATGTTTATTTTTAAATCTTTACTCTGTCTCTCTCTTTCTGATGTGTGTGTGTGTGTGTGTGTGTGTGTGTGTGTGTGTGTGTGTGTGTGTGTGTGTACATGTGGAGGTTGATGTACAGGAGTCAGTTCTTTCCTTCCACCTTGTGGGTCCAAGGTTTGAATGCAGGTCCTCAGGCTTGGTGGCAACTCACTGGGCCATTTTGTTGGCCCATGTTTTAGTTTGTTTGAGAAAGGTACTATGGGAGTTAGAAATTTAGCTTAGCAGTACAGTGTAGAATGTACAAGGTCCTGGATTCTGTACTTACCTCTGATTGAAGACAGGCAGATAGACAGACAGACAGATAAGACAGGCAGACTGAGAAAGAGAGAAGGAGACTTTGTAGCCAGGGTGACCTCAAAATCTCTTTGTAGCACAGGAAGACCTTGAACTCAGGATTCTTCTATTTCTCAAGTGTTGGGACTATAGGCATTCACCATCATGCCTAGCTCACCACTTGGTGACTAGATCTGAATTCTAATGTCTAATCCTGATGTCTGGAGGACCTGTTGTGGCTGTCACTCTACTGTTTTGTGAAGGGTATGATGAGCTGTTGTAGGAGGGAATTATTTTGTCATTAGCAGCACCAAAAACACCTTCTTCCCCCTTTTGAGCTAATTCTGACAAGTGTTAAATTGTTTCTAGTGCTAATGAAAGTATTCTCCTCAAAGATCATTAGCATCCTAGGTGGGTCCATTCAGTCTTTACCCTCTGCTTCTCCTGGGCAGGAGAACCACGTGAACCTGTTACATATCGAGTCCCGGAAATCAAATAGAAGAAACTCAGAGTTTGAGATTCTTGTTGACTGCGACATCAACAGAGAACAGCTGAATGACATCTTTCCCCTGCTGAAGTCCCACACCACTATGCTCTCTGTGGACCCTGATGAGCTCACTGTAAAGGAAGACGGTATGTTTGAGAAGGCAAAGCCCCACCTCCAAGAACAAGCACCCCATGTGTGTCCAGTCTCGTCTTCATCTTGAGGACAAGGAGACAAAAAGAAAACTCTGTGTAAACTTAAAGTCCTCATAGTGTAGTAGTTGAAGGGAAAACAAACAGCCACTGACGAGAATTCTAGGGAAAAGTTAAGAGGCAGCATTTGATGGAGGGTGGAGGAGTGGAAGAAGCCTTGGGCGTGAGAAGGGGTGGGTCAGAGGTCAATGTCCTCTCCTAGCTCCTCAAGTACTTCTGGATTCCACAACCCTGATTTCCACATCCCCTCATTCTTCATGGATCTCTCGGGACTTAGTGTCAGACAGATAGTAAACAGATATTTGAATTTGGGGGGATCATTGGCAGTGTTTGACATCTGTGATCTGAAACCTATTGTATTCATTCCCACCAAAAAACAACTGATCAGGGGATATAAAGCCTTCCAAGATTTCAGATACTCAGATTGAAAAGACTAAGGCTAAGGTCTCCATTTCTGACAAGAAATTGTTGTAACTTAGTTAAGACAGAAGATAAATGGATGCATTTAGTTTTGTTATACTCAGTTGAGTCTTAAAATTACATCACAATATTTGGAGTGTGACCAGGACAGCTTGCTGTTCATCTGCCATTGCTTCCTGTCACTGTTAAACTGTGGATTCACCTCCATTTCTGACTGGCAGGGAGCAACTTCCCTGAGTCCCTGAGTGCTCTCCTTAAAACAGAAAGGACAAAGCACAGAGGAAGATCTCAGTTCCAGGCTCCCACTCCCACTGGCAATGGATACCTTGGGTAGACTGCCTTGACATCTACAATCCGCTTACCTCACCTACGCAGTGAAGTTTTTTAGAATGCTAAATGGCTCCTTTGATTTTTAATGCATACCAACTCAGGTCAGATCTCTCTCTCTCTCTCTCTCTCTCTCTCTCTCTCTCTCTCTACACACACACACACACACACACACACACACACACACACTGAATTAAAAATAATAATATAACTTTTTTTCTTTAAGACAGGATTTTTCTCTGTGTAGCCCAGGCTGTCCTGGAACTCAAGCTGTAGACCAGGCTAGTCCTCCAACTCACAGATATCTGCCTGTCTCTGGCTCCAGAGTGCTGGTATTAAAGGCATGCACCACCACTGTCTGACAAATACTTTTTAAATCTAGAAATTAGGTATTTAGATATGATACCCTACCTCAACCTGGACTCACATGCTAGTCTATAGAGTTGCATTATCCTGGTCTACCTTCACACAGGACTGTTAGATATGTGACTTAAAACATTTAAGCATGTGATTTGTTACTTAAGAATAGTATTCTTTTTTTGTTTTTGTTTTTTGTTTTTTTTTGAGACAGGGTTTCTCTGTATTGTTTTGGAGCCTGTCCTGGAACTCGCTCTGTAGACCAGGCTGCCTCGAACTCACAGAGATCCGCCTGCCTCTGTCTCCCGAGTGCTGGGATTAAAGGCGTGCGCCACCGCCACCACCACCACCACCACTACCCAGCTGAATAGTATTCTTTAGCAATTGAGAAATTAAGAAAACAAAGCTAATGATTTTAATTAAAATATAATCCCTAGAAATAGAGTGGTTCACTTAAATCATAATCATTTCCCTTCAACATACAAGTTTCACTCTCATCCTACTGCACCTGCTTCTGAATTTCTCTTTGGTTAAGATTGTCTCCTCAATTACAGAGAAGCCCTGTCTTGTAAAAAAACAAAAAACCAATCAAAACAAAAAAAGATTGTCTCCTCAAACCTCAGTGGCTTCGGGGTTTTATTTTTCAGTTTTGGAGACTGTTCCTTGGTTTCCAAAGAAGATTTCTGACCTGGACTTCTGTGCCAACAGAGTGCTGATGTACGGATCCGAACTCGATGCAGACCATCCTGTAAATATTTCTTTAATTAATCCAGTAAAAATACTTTAAGGCAAACTAAAAATTAAGGGTAATTTTAAAACTTAAAAAAAGATTAAAACTTTTAAAAAGGATTTATTTATTTTAACTTTATGTGTATGAGTGTTTTCCCTGCATGTGTCTGTGCCTGAAGTGTCCTTGGAAACCAGAAGAGGGCATTGAATCCTCTGGAACTTGAGTTATGCATGGTGGTGGGACACCATGTGGGTGTTGGGAACCCAACCCTGGTTCCTCAAGGACAGCCATTAATCTTAACGACTAAGTCATCTCCCTAGGACCTAGAGGCAACTACTATTTTTTTAGACATGCTAATAGCATATATTAGTTATATAAGATACTGAGTTTTATTGTGATGTTTCATACATATATAAGACACTTTGACTCTACTCACTTCAATTGCCTTGTTTTGTTCCTTCCCCCAAATAGCAAGGGCAACTTGTTTGTGAGAAAATCCTTTTTCTTAACTAAATAGAATTTGTTGGGATAGGGATTTCAGGTATCAGCAGCAGCCCTCCACAAAGGTAGAACTGAGTCAGCAGACAGGAGAGTATCCGATAGCTTCGCTGGCTGGGAGATCTGCCCTGTTCCTCACATTGCCTTACTAAGATATCCCCAGAGCTGTGCAGCTGAGTGTGTCCATGGTCGTTCCTACCAAAATGGACTTGGGTGTTTGAAATGCAATAAAGGTGTGTGCCCTGCTGCCCAGTTCAATTGACTGATTAGGCAGCTGATGACACAAGAAGTTGTTTCCATGGAGAATTTTACAAAACAGCCATGATCTTGAGTGTTGGAGTCCAGAGCATTTGGTCTTGTGTTTGAATGTCTGGGTTCTTGGGAGGGATGGAGACGAGAGAATGCAATTGTGTACTCCCAGATCTGGCCTATACATTAGCGTCTCCTGCTTTCTAAGCTGCAGGCATGTGGCCATATAACACTCTACATAGATATCTTCCGGAGGACCCATCTGTCTACCAGATTACCTTACCAAATGACTCTTGCAATGAGATGGACTGCTCACCCTAAAGGAGCTTGCAGCCTAGTTGAGAATGAGCATGTATTAGCATATTGCAAGATAAAATGTACAAAGTGGGTCAGATGACATTAACAAGTTGAACATACACACAAGAGAGCCATCAGAGAAAAGTGATATTTCAACTGGATCCCAAAAGATTTTAGTAGGTGAGAAATGAAAAGAAAGGCCATTTGGGGGCGGGGCACAATGTGAGCCAAGGTTCTGAGAAAGTGTGGGGATGTGAATAGGAAGGCGGAACGCCAGTTCCGTAAGATGGCTACCGCTAAGGATGCTCACCTTCATCCTTTTACATTTTGCTTCTCATTTATTATGATCCCTCAGCTGATTTCCCTGCCTCCAGCCTTGCCACCTTCACATATGCTCGAAAGCATTGGAATGTAAGCCTCAGTATGACCACTTTCTCTCCTCTTCTATACCTCCCCAGTGAGACCATGTCTCACAAAACAAAAGGAAACGGGCATGAAATACCATGCTACCACATGGGTGAACCTTGGATGAAGCCAATTACAAAAGACCTTATGTTTATGATTCCATTTATTGAAGTATCTAGAAGAGGTAAATTCACAGGGACAGAAACAGAGATTTGATAACTGACCTACAGGGGCTGGGTTTGGGAGGGAAATGAGGACGAGATGGTTAGTATGATGTTTCTTTTTGAGGTGACAGAAGTTTTCTGAAATCAGATGGTACAGTCTATGACCATCCTGAACACACTCAATCTGGCCTGAAACTAGAGGGTAAGGATTCTCACTGGGCACAACCACTTGCAAACCAGAGGTGGGAAGATTGCAAGTTTTAAGGTTAGCCTGGGCAACATGGCAAGATGTTGTCTCAAAATCAAAAACAAACAAAAACTATGATCATGGTTGTTAGTTTCTATGAATGGCTGTTTCATGCATATGAGCTGTATGTCAGTGTAGCTGTTAGTCTAAGAGAGCACCAACAAAGCCCTGCAGTCCAAATGCAAACTCCTTAACTGACCTGCAACCATGAACTAGTTTTCAACATGATCCATGCACCATGCAAGTGCCAGAAGCATGGCGTGGCTTGCAGTTTTGCATCCTGAACATGTTTTCCTTCTCTGCGCAAGTGTTTGTGCCCCCTCTGTCCTTCACCAGCTCTCTCCACATGACAGACACAGCTTGGGATCAGTGCTGGGAAGTTTAGTTCAGTTAAGTCACTATTTTAGATTTATTCACAGTACCAGGTCTCAAATGTTCTAGGCAGATACTCTATTGCTGAATGACACCTCAGTCTCTATCACTAATTTCTACCATAGGTAAACATAACTGAAGACATAGTCAAGTGATTAAGGAAAACAAAAGAGCTATATGCTTAACTAGGATGACATTCTTTAGTCATCTTTGTAGTCACTGAAGGATCTTTGTATAAAAAGTTTCATTTCCTTTGTATCCACAAGATGATAAAGCTGACATGTAACTTAAGACTTCAAAATGGTCACATATCTCTAAGCATTGCTTGTTTCTGATAACAATTATGTAGTTTTTCAATATCTCCAGCCAAAACAATGAAATGCTTTCTAAATGTCATTTCCAAGTACTTTTAGTTTCAATATTTAATTACTTTTAATTATCAGGGCTTCAAAGATAATGTCTACCGTAGAAGACGAAAGTATTTTGCAGAGTTGGCTATGAACTACAAACAGTAAGTATATTACAAACAAACATATCTAACTTTGAGATTTCAAAATAATGGAATAAACTGTGTTTATATAGTAAATAGAAAGAAAGATAAGTGTAACTACCTAAATACAATGCAGAATTCCTCCTCTTGATCTCAATAGTGGGGATCCCATTCCCAAAATTGAATTCACGGAAGAAGAGATTAAGACCTGGGGAACCATCTTCCGAGAGCTGAACAAACTCTACCCGACCCATGCCTGCAGGGAGTACCTCAGAAACCTTCCTCTGCTCTCGAAATACTGTGGCTATCGGGAAGACAACATCCCGCAACTGGAAGATGTCTCCAACTTTTTAAAAGGTAAAAAGCCAACAGTTTCAACTGTGACAGTTGTCTGTGGCAGAATGAAGTCCAGAGTCTCCTGAACTCATCCTGCAGTATTGGATCCAGGCCTGGGCAGCACATTGGAAAGAGAGTCCACATAGCTTAGGGCATGACAAAGTGAACAGAACTTCAAGGGAATTTGAAACATGTCACATGGGTAAAATCTGCAGGACACTTTGGGTGTTAACTTGGGGATATAAGAGGTGTATACTAAATGTTAAAACATTTGACAAGCCGGGTGTTAGTGGCGCACACCTTTAATCCCAGCACTCGGGAGGCAGAGGCAGGCGGATCTCTGTGAGTTTGAGGACAGCCTGGTCTACAGAGTGAGTTCCAGGATAGACTCCAAAACAATACAGAGAAACCCTGTCTCGAAAAACCAAAAAAAAACCAAAAAAAAACAAAAAAAAGCCATTTGACAAATTGGAATCTACTTCATAGAAATCAGGCCTGTAAAGTGATTAGTGCTCATCAGTGTGTCTGTACCAGACCTCTGCACCTGCTTTCAGGGATGTAAAGGAGACAGGACATCTGATGCTGGGTGGTCTCTGATGCTGGGTGGTCTCTGATGCTGGGGGCAGCTGATGCTAGGGGGCTCTCTGACTCTTCGGGGAATCTCTGGTGGCTGAAGGATTTCTTGAGTCCTTTTCCACACTAAGATTCTATGATTTTTGCAACAAAGAAGTGTGTGGAACTAGAAGAAGAAACCAAAAGTAAGGGCAGTTTTGTTTGGCTCAGGCCTCTATTTTTTCTAGCTGGCGTAAAGAGTAAAATGATCATGGATCGTGATCCAGACTCTGCTGAGCTTAAGGAAAATCAGTGTCTCTCTGTGTCTCAGCAATTGGGAGACTGTGGTGAGGAGTGCTGCTGTGCAGTGCTGGGGACTCAGGACAGGGTCTCAGGGCTGGTGGGCAGGAGCTCCTCTCTGAACCCAATGCAGGGTCTCAGGGCTGGTGGGCAGGAGCTCCTCTCTGAACCCAATGCAGGGTCTCAGGGCTGGTGGGCAGGAGCTCCTCTCTGAGCTGTGCCCCCAGCCCAGAAGTTATAATTTTGGTTCATATTATTAATCTTTCTTTCCTAGCTTAAAGTGTTTCTTACACAAAAACTATATATAAAAACCTAGGGGGGCTGGGTGTTGGTGGCCCACGCCTTTAATCCCAGCACTCAGGAGGCAGAGGCAGGTAGATCTCTAAATTCAAGGACAGCCTGATTTACAGAGTGAGTGCCAGGACAGGCTCCAAAGCTACACAGAGAAACCCTATCTCAAAAAACAAAACAAACAAACAAACAAAAAACAGCAACAACAAAAACCTAAAGGAACTGAGCAGGAAAACTCCGCATTGTTTCATGAGGACAGAAACAATGTATGTGTTTCTGATGAAGAACTAAGCTTTTAACACATGGTGCAGCAGCAGTGCAGGCCCTCACTGGACTCACAGCTGCATGAGTGTGTGCCACAGGCATTGTTCAGTCAGGCTTGCAGGATGTAAAACTGAGAGCTGTCCTGCTGGAGTCTGGGGCTGGGCTGGCCGCAGAGCCATTCTGCTGTTTCAAGGGCAAATGTCAGAGAAACCAAAATTAGAGGGCAAGCCGGGCGTTGGTGGCCCACGCCTTTAATCCCAGCACTCGGGAGGCAGAGGCAGGCGGATCTCTGTGAGTTCAAGGCCAGCCTGGTCTACAGAGCGAGTTCCAGGACAGCCTCCAAAGCAATGCAGAGAAACCTTGTCTCAAAACAAAACAAAACGAAGCAAAACAAAACTAGAGGGCAATTCACATGAAACGTCAGGTGAGGATACCAATACTGTCAAACATCGTGGCCACTGGATACGTGTTTCCGTTTTACGTTGTAAACAATTAAAGTGCACTCATCAAAGTATTAGGGCCTTGGCCACACCAGCCCCGCATTAAATGCTTAGTAGTGACAGATAGTTATTGAGCACTGGGCAGCACAGTAGGGAGCATTTCCATCAAGGAATGTGGAAGACTTGGTTGGATGACCTTCTGCGTATCAGAGGCAAACTTCTAGAGCAGCTGGATGGAGCTGGGAAGCCAGCGTGGTGAGCATTTAGTGGGAGGTACAAGACTGAGCACACAATGATCTCTTGGGCTGCTGAAGCCCAGTGGCCCCTTTTCTAGTACGCAGAAGACAATCTTGGCATTTGGGTGGAAGAGAACCATCCAGCTTAGCTGAAATAAAATGAACTATAGAAGATAATAATGCCTAAACATAGCTTAGATTAAAAATGGCTATGATTGAAAAATAATTTTAAAATTAATTTCTAAAATAACATACCAAGTAATAGGCTCCATTATGGTATTTTACACTTATGTGCCATATGTCCGAAGCCATTGCCCTCCACTGCCCCTTTCTTCTGAACAGGGCCTTTTCTGCTTTCATGGCACATGCATTCCCATTATGCTCTCTGCCCCAGTCTCCCTCCCCTGAGATTCCTTCTCCCTCCTTGTAGTCTCCTTTCAGTTTCATGACCTCCACACCCAGACACACACGGATACACTCACAGAGACACACACACACACACACACACACACACACACACACACACACGGATACACTCACAGAGACACACACAGACACACACACAGAGACACAGACACACACAGAGACAGACAGACACACACACACACAGAGACACAAACACATACAGAGACTCACACAGAGATACAGACACCTACATGCACACACACACACACACACACACACACACACACACATGGGGATTTAATCTTAGTTCCATATATAAAGGAAAAATTCAGTATTTGTGTTTCTGAGCCTGACTTATTTCTCTTACTACAAGGATCTCCAGTTACATCCATTTTCCTGTAAATGTTATCATGTCATTTTTCTTTATGAGGGGATGCAATCCCACTGTGTATATGTGCTGCGAATGGACATCTAGGCCAGTCCATCTCTTGACTACTGTGGCTAGCACAGCAATAAACGTGGATAGAAAGTGTCTCTGTAGTGTGCTCACTTAGTGCCCTTGGGAATATTCCCAGGAGTGGGTCCTATGTAGTTTTGTTTTTATTCTCTTTTTGGGAGACTTCCACAATGACTGCTCCAGTTTACATTCCCACTGTCAGTGTGTAAGAGTCAAACTGCTCCCGATGTTTGAAGGAGAGTGCCAAGGGTAATCTGAGGCCTCCTGAATGTGTATTTCACCTTTATCATCTCCTGTGGTCCCTGAGCACATTATTCAGTGTTTTGTAGCTGTTACAATAAAGAGAAAAACCCTTCTGTAAGTATGAAAGGAGGTGTGGTGTGGAGAGGGATTGCTGACTGACTGTGGGACATGCTTAACAATGCTTAACTTACTGTGGTACACATGTTACATTTTAGTTGCCACATCCCCAAGGAAGTGCTACCTGGTGCCACTGGCCAATGTCAGTGGTCTGTGTCTGAGGTGAATGTTTTCTGTTTTCTCCTTTGCTTTGCAGAATGTACCGGGTTTTCCATCCGTCCTGTGGCTGGTTACCTCTCACCAAGAGACTTCCTGTCAGGGTTAGCCTTCCGAGTCTTTCACTGCACTCAGTATGTGAGACACAGTTCGGATCCCCTCTATACTCCAGAGCCGTGAGTACTAAGTCCTTCATTCATTAAACAGTTATTTATAGTAATGGTACCCACTTCACAAAGCATCCTGTAAGTGTTCAATGAAGCAGCATATGCCAAGCCTTTAGGATAGTGACTAGCATTAAAGCATATTCCATAACACATGCAACCAGTTATTATTATTATTAATTATTATTATTAGTAGTAGTAGTAGTATTGGAAACTTGTTAGATGCTAGGTGCAGTTCTGCACACAAGGGATGTAAAAATCAGTTAAATTTATCCTCTTCATAAAGTTTGTATTTTGAGGGACTACACAGAATGATAAACAAGTAAATGGAGTATGTGTCAAGTCAGATGATGGTGCATGCCATGGGGGAAAAGATGAAATTATGAAAGGAAGGATACAGGCGTGTATATATGTATATGGGTGTTGCTTTGGGAAGAGTGTGCTGAGAAAATAGGAGAGTAGAGACTTGGTTTGGGTGGGGACCTGGAGTACCAGTGGATTCGTGTCGACGGGATGAGATTTGGGACCAATGGAATTTCTTTATTCAGTTAGGTTGACTTTGGTTTGGATTCAACAGTTGGTTATACCCTTGTGCCAAGCACCACAGTGTGACAGACTGTATCTCTGTTTCAGAGACACCTGCCATGAACTCTTAGGTCATGTTCCTCTCTTGGCTGAACCCAGTTTTGCTCAATTCTCCCAAGAAATTGGCCTGGCTTCCCTTGGAGCGTCAGAGGACACTGTTCAAAAACTGGCAACGGTATACATTTGGAAACAATTGTACAGTCCAGGATTCTCCACTGGGGTGGTTGGGAGTATTTGGGTAGTTTGAAGTCCACGATCAAAACAACCATTAGAAAATTTGTGTTTGCTTTAAATATTTATGAATTTAAACAATGCTAAATGAAGTTAAACAATTTAAGGTTTCTCAAAAAGAAAGGCAGCTTTAAAACAAGACAGAGAAGCACAAGATTGCTTTAATATGCTAAGTTTTAGATTAAGAAGAGAGTGATGTCTTATGAAGCAGGGAAGGAAAGAAGGACATTTTAGGATGAGACACAAGACAAATGAGAAGGGGCTTGGTACCCACTGGGGAACAGCTGAGGGTGGAGGGGGTGTGGCGTAGGCTAACTGGTTATGTAGTTGTGGTTTGGGGATGCTAGGGGCCCCTGAGACCTTTTGTGGAGTCCTTCAGGACAAAATTATTCATAATTACAAGACAAAAAGTATATTCTTAATGTGACAGACAGGGCTCAGATGCCACACTGAGTCTGAACTTTAAGCGACTGCCATATGCTGAGTGAGGTAGTTTAAAGAATATGCACATTTCTCTCGAGAGGAGCGTCAGAACCCGCCCCTTTTCTAACTACATATCTGTGTGAAGCTGGGCTTTCTTCATATACTTAAACCAAAACAACATATTGCAAGAGATTAAATACAGCAGCAGATATGGTAGCCCATCTGCCTTCCCTTCAGACATTAAATACTGTCTAGCCAGGCATGGACGTGAGCAGTGTGGGGTTACTGACTCAGTCACTCCACACTATGAATCCATAGGATTGTAATTGTCAAAACTTAAAATCAGGGCCAGCGAGATGGCTCAGTGCCACCAAGCCTGACGACCTGAGTTCCATCCCATGGTGGAAGGAAAGAAGCTGCCCCACAAGGTGTCCTCTGACTTTCACAGGCATGTGCATAGACACGCAAATAAATGTAAAAGAAACAATTAAAGCTAAAAAGATGATGGCTACACAGTTGGAAGCTTTCTTCCTGCTCTTCCAGAGAACTTGGTTTCTGTTTCCCAGTGACCACACTGCAAGTCACAGCCTCCTGTAACTCCAGCTCTAGGGAGTCCCATGCCCTCTTCTGGCCTTTGTAGGTGTCTGCATACATAGACACAAGTAAAAATAATCAGAACAAATTTAAAAAGGTGAATAACAATTACAAAACAATGCTATTGTTTTATTACTTTTTGTTTTGTAAAATATACTTTCATTAACACGTTATTTACGTTACCATACAATGGGTTTACCATCTTTAAATTTGACTTTTAAGCACCTAAACTGTTTCTTGGTTTTAATTGTAAAATGATCCATATAGCTGGGGGTAACACATACACACAGAGAGGTCTTTGGACTCCTCAGTAATTTGCAGCCGCGTATCAGAGTCTTTACAGCAAGTTTAGAGAGTCCTGATGCACAATGGGACCAGACTGCGGAAGGACTCGGGATGTGGGCTGGAAGCCTTGGGCTTAATTCTAGGTGTGCTTTGGGCCAGTGACTAAGAACTAGAATTTACTTTCGATTGAGATGCTCAGGATGTAAACATGATGTTGACATCCCTTTGCAGTGCTACTTTTTCACTGTGGAGTTCGGTCTGTGCAAACAAGATGGACAGCTGAGAGTCTTTGGCGCCGGCTTGCTTTCTTCCATCAGTGAACTCAAAGTAAGAAGAGTCATTAGTCATTGCACAGAACTGTGTCCACCGGCACGATCAACATGCCTGCAGGCAGAACCTGCACGTGCTTTACTACGTCAAATATTGGAGGTGGCAGTAAACATACTTTGAGACCATTTTTCTCTACAAACTTCTAGAAAAAGGTGTCTTTGAATAGAAAGTATTTTAAAGCTTCAAACAGATTTCTGGGATACAAGCAGTAAGTTCTGTACCAAGTAGGGAAGTGAGATCTAGTTACCTGAGGAAGGAATGAGTGAAGTCTGTGGAATGAGCGACGCCTCAAATGCTGTCCAAGTACTGTGCTGTGTTCATGGAGGCCGCTCTCTGGTGGTGGGTGTAAGCTAAGTATAAACGTGACTGGTAGAGAAAAGGGAAAGTCATAATGTATAAGTAAATAAGCAAATAAATCATGGGTGCCTCCTATGTGGCGAAGAGAGTTAAAATAGAACCGCTGATATGGCCTTGGGTCATTTGCAGGGGACGGCAAGCCTTTTTGCTGGGCTGGACTGGATGAAGCAGAGATGAAGCGAGTTAGCCTGGGGTTGCAGACAGGTCCCTTGCATAACTCTGATCGAGGCATGCCAGCTGCTGCAGTCATGCATTCGGTGACGGCAGAGGCAGTATTTGATTGCCATTCTTTGTCCTCCAGCATGCGCTTTCTGGACACGCCAAGGTCAAGCCCTTTGATCCCAAGGTTGCCTGCAAGCAGGAGTGTCTCATCACAACCTTCCAGGATGTCTACTTTGTATCTGAGAGCTTTGAAGACGCAAAGCAGAAGATGAGGTAAAATCTATCTACCGTAAGCTTCCATTTTCTGCAAAAGTAATGTGCAAAGATACAATAATCACAAGCATAAGCAATTAGGCAATTGGGTGACCACCAGGAGCCTTCTACCTGGGACATACCCAGTAGGTTGAATGTTGTATGTTAAGTATTTGCATATGGGAATGGGATACATTGGGAGATTAGCCCCTCCCCATTACTTCTCACCAGAGTTTATAGTTGAGCAGGAATAAGAAACTAGAGACACAATACCAGAGTACTCTGGGAAGTGACAAGAATACAGGCAGACAGGAAACACTGTCTTGCCTCTGCTGATCTCCTCTCCAGCTGGAGAATCACAGAAATCTTCGAGGCAAGTGGGACAGGTGGAAGACTAGCTGGAACTCAGATGTGTCCAGTTCTAGGCTGATGTGGCATGGAAAGAGACGAGGCGACAGAAATGTGGGGATATTTCAGTGCAGTCACATCCCCTGACTTGTCATCAGCTAAGCATGTGGTAAAGAAGGGAGAAAGGGGGCACAGACTCTTTTTAGATTCTTGTGGACCCCAGGTGAAAGTAAAATCTGGACTAAGATGGAGGCAGTGACTATGGAAGCAGGAGCCAGATGATAGCATTGATGAAGGGGGTGTGAGCCACACTGTGAGGGCGGAGTCACATAGCATTGATGAGGGGAGTGTGAGCCACATTGTGAGGGCGGGGTCACACAGGGGAAGAAGATAGTGCTTCTCTTCTAGGGGCTTGCCATTCACAGACTCAAATAAACAGTAGCTGTGCTTTCTCTAGCCCAGATGGCATCCTTGTGCAAAGCTACAGTGGTCACCACTTGGGAGACCAGATGGATGGGAACCTGGATCCCAGTCCCCAAGCATGTACACTTGCTCTCAGTTGTACAGTTACCTTTGGAGTCCTGAGCATGGTTGTTCTGTAGGGTCCCAAGTAAGAGGTTCAAATGTTGGCTTGATAAAGGAGACAGATTTTAAACCATGAGAGTTGGGGCATTCAAGTCATTCGAGAGGAAGCTAGAAACATTCTAAGCTGAAAAACTCCCAAGTACAGGAAGGTAGGACTCCCCTCTCGCCCTCCCCTACCCTGCCCCATCTTTTATTATGCAAGGCATAGCTGAAGGGTCTGTTACTATGTGGCTCAGTCTTGCCATTATCTCCTGACACACTGACAGATAAAGCTGCTGTGGTTGATGGCCTTAGTGAAGCCAAGAGGTCAAGAAATGGGTTGTATATCACTTCTACAGCATGAGATATGGGATTAGTGCTCGGTATGGGAGAATACAGAGGGGGCAGGGGAAGGGAGGGGGAGAAAGAGAGATTGAGCTTCCCTCCAAGACCGCAGTAGATGGTGTTCAGGCCACTGATGTCAAGACAGAGAAAGCAGGGTGTGTGTGTGTGTGTGTGTGTGTGTGTGTGTGTGTGTGTGTGCACAGCTGTGTGTAACCATCTTCATAGAAATTAACACTCCCTTACTTGTTGTCTTAGAGAATTTACTAAAACAGTGAAGCGCCCATTTGGAGTGAAGTACAATCCATACACACAGAGCGTTCAGGTTCTGAGAGATGCCAAGAGCATAACCAGCGCTGTGAATGACCTGCGGTATGACCTTGATGTCATCAGTGATGCCCTTGCTAGGGTCAGCAGGCGGCCCAGTGTGTGAGTGTCTGCAGTCAGAATCCAGAAAGCCAGTGGGCATCAGTTCAGAGCCAGGACTGCCTCCTGCTTGCCCAGAAGACCAAAGTCTCTCATCTCTCTGTAATAAACCACTCGCTGTCTTTGGAAATGTACACCTGGATGCTTTAGCCTCTACTAACTTCTTTCATTTTGTCTTTTGGCACCCGGTTGGGTAAATATAATTCACACACCATGTGACTCATCAAATGCCTATTTAAAATAGTTTATTTCATTAAAATACAGTTAAATTATTCTCCTCCTTCCCTTTCTTCCCTCCAACCCTGCTCCCCAATGCCATGGCCTTTTCACCAATTGTGCATTTTTATTGAGCAACTTGTTTGACACTGGTCAGAGCTGGTCTCATCTTGATGCTGTTTTCACCCAGTCTGTCATTAGCAAATGGTCACTTTGGATGCCCTGACGAGTGCATCTGTATGTTACCTGTCACCACCTTTGTGACAGCTCAGGCATGTTCATACACTGGACTTATAGGAGACTAGCTGTCCCCGCTGCTAGCATGGACAGAAGTGCAGAGGGCTTGGTCCTAGATCACGACTAGTAAAGAGTAAGCTGGCTTCAAGTGCAGTGTCCGGCAGGGACATAGAAGTCACCACGACTCAGCCAGGCGTGGCGGTGCCTGCAGTTCCAGTCCTCCCTGGCACTTTCTGTCCAGGTGTCACACTAGAGCATAGATGAGAGAAGGGAGTAGGAAATGGGGAAGGAAACAGAGAGGGCGAAGGGGAGCAGTTTGGGTCTGAGAGTGTAATCGTGTGAGGACTGTAAGGATTGGAGCACATGTGGTGTCAGCCTCGTAGCATTAGCATAAGCAGTTGGGTAAACTTTCCATTACTGTAACAAAGTGCCAGAGGCGATCAGCTTATAAACAGGAGAGTTTCATTTTGGCTCTAGGTTTGAATGCTTTGGTCCATTAGAGGTTGTTCCTGTGTTTTAAGTTGTGGTGAAGCGAGGCATGGTGGGAGATGTGACAGAGCAAAGCTATAAACTTTGTAAAGGGTGGAAAGAGAAAGAGGGAAGGCTTGAGAGAAGGAAGAAGGGAGGAAGAGGGGAAAAGGGAGGGATGAGGAGACACAGAGAGGAAGAGATAGATAGATGATGGATGGATGGATAGATAGGTAGGTAGGTGGACAGATAGATAGATAGATAGATAGATAGATAGATAGATAGATAGATGATAGATAGATAGATGATAGATAAATAGACATCCTACAGTACAGTTTAAGAGTTCAGCACTACCAGGATAGGATAGAGGACTCACATGTTAAGCACTAGCTGCGCTTCTAGAGGCCCTGGGTTTGATTCCCAGCACCTAATGTGGTAGCTCATAAACATCTGTAGCTCTAGTTATAGGGGATCCAATGTTTTCTTTTGGCCTCCATGGATAGCAAGTGGTACACAGTCATACATGGAGGAAAACCATAAAATAAAAAACTAAAAGCTTCTGTTTTCACATTAATAGTAAAAATATATACCATTGATCGTGCTTCATGTAAAGCCCACTAGATTTTTTTATTCTAGATATTTCTTAATCCTTTGAAGACTTCAGAGGGAATTGTTAAAAGCTGTATTGCTGTTGGTCTTTCTTGTCAGATTTTCTTTGGGACTGCCAGCCCCCAAATAATGACACATAGACTTATTATTAATTATGAAAGCTTGGCCTTTAGCTTAGACTGTACCCAAATAGTTCTTATACCTTAAATTAACCTGTTTCTATTAATCTACATTCTTTCATGTTGCTTTTTACCTCTACTCCATTCTGTTCTTACAACTTGTTTCATGTCCGGGTGGCATCTCCTGCCTGCCTAAATCCATCCCTGAGTTCCTCTCTCTACCTGGAAGTCCCGCCTAACCTCTCCCAATTGGCTATTGACCATTCAGCTTTTTATTAAATGAATCACAATGACACATCTTCATGCAGTGTGCAAATATCTTGCAACACTGTACTTCATCCCATGCTCTACAAGGAAGCAGATTGAGGAAAGGTAATTCAGCCATCTCAGATCTTTATAAACAACTCACATTAATAGCTACTGAGCATACACACTGCAGTGAGTAGATATGTTAGTTGATCTGAATAATTTGAAATACAGACCAGCTAGTTTGTAGTCTGCTGTGTTACCAGGAAAAGCACTGTGAAGAATTGTAAAAGATAGCAAATAAAGAACCCATCTGCTGTGTCTGGTTGTTTTCATAGGACTTTGATGGTGCTGGAGAATCACAGTTAGTGTGTTTTAAAATGATGGTGCTGAATATTTGCTCTGACTAAAGCACTTTAAAGTAGATGGTAAAGCCACAGACGTATCCTTAGTAACTTCAAGATAGTAGAAATGTTTACTGATGGTATTGACTTTGTCTAACCTCTGGGTCATGATATTTGACAAATCAGGGATCCAAGAGTTTTAGAATTTTAAAATACCTAAGATTTTTTAAACAATCATTCAAACACTAGGACAGAATGGAATCAAAAGCATAACTTGCAGTTCTTTAGTGGAGAGCCATTCCTTGGCAACAGGAGTATGTGTGACTTTTTGAAGAAAATACAAATGTGAATTGTCAGAATGCCTATGTTCCATAACTTCATGCTTTGGCATTTGGAGTTATATAAGTAGCAAAATAGAGCAAAATCATTGATCAATTGTAAGATGGCTTCCAGAGAAGGAAAAAAGCCAGGACATCTCAAAAGCATTAAGTAACAGAGATCATATGTTAATATCCACGAAGTGGTAAAGATAGCTATTACCCATTTCACCCTTGTCTTCATCTCACTATGTAATGTACATTTACAATTTAAAAGTTTGTTATTCCCCTGAACAATATACTCAGAGTTCATGTTCTCAAAAGTGGGTTTTTTAAAGTGCACTTTAAAAATTTCACTGTGAGTGTGTATGTGTGTGTGTATCTGCCTGTGTGTGTGCCTCTATGTGTCTGCTTGTGTGTCAGTGTGTGTATCCGTATGTGTGTCTGTGTATATCTCTCTCTCTCTCTCTCTCTCTCTCTCTCTCTGTGTGTGTGTGTGTGTGTGTGTGTGTGTGTGTGTCCTAGGAACCAAACTCCAGTTGTCAGACTTAGCCACAGCACCTTTAACAGCTGAGTCATTTTGCTCCCCAAAAAGTATTTTTGGCAAACATACATTAAAAACATATTCAATTTTATATTCACAATTATATTAGTTTAGAGACCCTAGCAGTGGTGATGGTTGGATGGGGGAGGACAATAAATTAGAGCAAAGGATGAAAAATTCCACAGTGGAACACATTACTTTGTATATCAACTTAAAATTTTTTCAAGAAAATGAAAATTATAAAATAAAAACTATATGTCACTCCACTTATTTAAAGTGTGTGGTTATGAGCTATAGTAAAGTTGAACATACCTGATCCCCATCACTACTTCCTGGGAAAGCTTCCCTCTCATATTCCTCCTCTGAATGTAAGCTATGTCTCCTGTAATGAATTACTGGAGAAAATTAAGTCACAAGGATTATTAGCACAAAACATCAGGAAATCTCAACACCATGAAAATACCAAACCTAAGAACAATGGGGATAGAAGAAGGAGAAGAATTCCAGCAAAAAGGCATAGAAAATGTATTCAACAATATCACAGAAGAAAACTTTCCCAACATAAGAAGGACATGACTATGAAGATACAAGAACACAAGAAGCTTACAGAACACCAAATAGAGTGTACAAAAAAGTCCCCTCTCTACATAATAATCAAAACAATAAACATGCAAAATAAAGGAAAAATACTAAGAGCTGCAAAGAAAAAAGGCCAACTAACATATAAAGGCAGACCTATCCCGATTTCTCAATGGAGGCTGTGAAAGCTAGAAGGTCCTGGACAGACATTTTGAAAACACTAAAAGACCATGGATGCCAACCCAGACTACTATACCCAGCAAAACTTTCAATCTCCGTAGATGGAGAAAACAAGGTACTCCATAACAAAACCAGATTTAAACAATATCTATCCACAAATGCAGCCCTACAGAAAGTACTAGAAGGAAAACACCAATCCAAGTAAGTTAGCTATACCTACAAAAACACGGCAATCAATAATTCCATACAGCAAATCCTAAAGAAGGGAAACACACATACAATACCACCATCACCAACAAAACCAAAAAATAACAATCACTTATCATTAATATCTCTTAGTATCAATAGAATCAATTCACTTATAAAAAGACGCAGGCTAACAGGACCTATCCTGCTGCATACAAGAAACACACCTTAACTTCAAAGACAGGCATTACCTCAGAGTAAAGGGTTGGGAAAAGATTTTCCAATCAAATGGACCTAAGAAACAAGCTAGTGCAGTTATCCTAATATCTAATGACATAGACTTCAAACTAAAATTAATCAATGAAATAAAGACATTTCATATTCATCACAGAAAAAAATTCAACAAGATGAAGTCTCAATTCTGAACATCAATGCCCCAAATACAAGGTCATCCACATTTGTAAAAGAAACATTACTAAAGCTCAAATCACACATCAAACCCCATACACTAATAGTGGGAGACTTCAACACCCCACTCTCATCAATGGACAGGTCTGCCAGATGGAAACAAGGGAACTAACATATGCTATGACTCAATTGGACTTAACAGACATCTATAGAACATTCCACCCAAACACAAAAGACTATACCTTCTTCTCAGCACCTCATGGAACCTTCTCTAAGATTGACCACATACTGAGTCACAAAGCAAATCTCAATAGATGCAAAAAAATGGAACAAACCCCTGTATATTATTGGATCACCATGGTTTAAAGTTAGAATTCAACAGCACAAATTACAGAAATCCTACAAACTCATGGAAACTGAACAATGATCAACTGAAACACCACTGGGTCAAGGAAAAATAAAGAAATTAAAGACGTCTAGAATTCAATGAAAATGAGCGCACAACATACCCAAACTTGTGGGACGCTATGCAAGCAGTGCTAGGAGGAAAAGTTCATAGCACTAAGTGCTCACATGAAGAATTTGGAGAAATCTCACACTAGTGACTTAGCAATACAACTGAAAGTTCTAGAACAAAAAGAAGCAAATTCACCCAGGAAGAGTAGAGGGCAGGAAATATTCAAATTAAGGACTGAAATCAATAAAATAGAAACAAAAAGAATAATACAGAGAATCAATGACACAAAGAATTACTTCTTTGAGAAAATCAACAAGATAGACAAACCTTTATCCAAACTAACCAAAAGACAGAGAGAGAAT